TTAGCAAACTTGTGCAAACACTTTGGAAATCAGTGTGGTGGTTTCTCAGAAAATTGGGAGTCAATCTACCTCAGGATTCAGCAATACCTCTCTTGGGAATATACCCAAAAGATGCTTGAGCATACTACAAAAGTATTTATTCAACTATGTTCATAGCAGCATTATTTGTAATAGTCAGAACCCAGAAACAACCGAGATGTCCCTCAATGGAAGAATGGATAAAGGTGTGGCACATCTACACATTAGAGTACTACTCAATGGTAAAAAACAATGACACCTTGAAATTTGCATGCAAATGGATGGAACTAGAAAACACTATCCTGTGTGAGATAAGCGAGACCCAAAAATATGAATATGGTATATACTCACTCATTAGTAGATACTAGCCATAACAAAGGCTATTGAACCTAAAGTTCATGATCCTAGAGAAATTAAGTAATAAGGTGATCCCAAAGAAAAACATATATAGATCTACCTGGAAATTTGAAGCAGACAAGATTGCCTGACAAAATTTGGAATCATGGGGGCGGGGGTTTGAGACAAGGGGAGAAGGAGAAAATGAGGGGAGAAGGGGAAGAGGAAGGGAGAAGGGAAGGGTTTAGGAGAGCTTAAGAAAATGGGATACTTGAGAACAGGTGTATTCTGGGAAGAAGAAAGCACTTTCCAGAGTCCTGCCTAGATTTCAGAAGAAGCAAGATGTGACCTACCCCCACTGAAAAAGATACCAAGCCATGTGGCTAACATAGACTAGAAAAATGGGCTAATATGAGTTATAAGAGCTAGTAAGGAGCCTGAGCTAATGGGGCAATCAGTTTATAATTAATATAGATCTCTGGGTAATTTCTTTGGGGGTTACCTGCTATGGGAACTGGGTAAAACAGAAACCTCAACCAGCAAGCCACCATGTTACAGAATGTCGCCCCCGTGGATAACTGTACCCACAGAAGGCCTAAGAAAGCTTGGGGAAGAATAGAGTAAAGCATGTTGTCTTGGTAGCAGCAATTTCTCGGGTCTGCTCTGGTTGTTAGAGGCAAGTAAGTGTTCTCTTTTAAGAGAGGCTTCCTGACTCAGATTTAGTTGCAAAACCCTGCAGCTCTTTAAAGAGGTCCTGCCACAAAACACTTAAATGGTGTTTAATTAAATGGTATTGACAAATATCCGACCACATGTCTTTTGGATTTTAGCTGTAGCAGGAAAAAAGCCATGCTGTTTTACAATGCCAGCTTTCTGGGCCATCCTGCTAGGGCAAACTCTGACTCTTTCAGGCAGGCAGTCTGACTATGGAGCATTTGAATATGGTTTGTGAGCAGAATGCTGCAGCTTGCTTGCTGGCAGGGACCTTGAAACACCATAGAGTTGTGGCAATAAACATGGCTCCTGGGATCTCACAAAGGTAAGGAATGGGCTGGATCCAGCCATCAAAGCCACAGCTTTAATTCAATTCATATTCCTTAGTAAATTAAAGACTCATGTGGTCAGAAAAAGAGAGATATATACAGTAAAGATATATTCAAAGATGAAGGAAACCTGTAAATGGTTTAATGTGTGTTTAAAAATATATGCAGGCTAAAGGTTAAAGTCCTTAAAGTAAGAAAGAAAGAGAGTAGTTGGGTGTGGTTGTACACGCCTTTAATCCCAATGTTTGTGAGTCAGAGAGACCTCTGCGAGTTCAAGATGTGGCACTCAACTTCTCCCTCCAACAACAAATTTTCTAAAAAGAGCATGTGGATTTTTCACTAGGGGAAATATAAAAACCACAGCTTCCTAGGATGGTTTCGAGTCTTTAGTTAATCAGTATTCTCTTGTGGGTTTCAGAACTGATAGGATGGGGGTCATACCATAGTCCCTGTCTTAGTAGTTGTTCAGTTGGAAGTTATAATTTCTTCCTGGCTTACTAGTGGGATATTATTACTTTATGAGGGAATTTCTAAGGATCTCAGAGTTGAATTTGAACTTTACAGTTATGCCATGCTAGGATGGTATGTATGCATATTATGGCCAGAGAAGTTTATAATTTCCCTCCGGAGACAGAGTTTGATCATTGAGTATCCAGATCTTAAGATGATGCTGAGCTTGGTCATAATAATTTTTCCTAGTAAGGGAACAGGGAATGAGGTGCAATTAGAAATCAGGAAATAAGAGTTTAATAATATTATTAAGATATAAGAAGAATAAGGTAACATCTCTGCCTTCCACTCCATTGACAGTTGTGAAACCAGAGGGGATGACTATCTGCAAAAACAGTTAACAATGAGTACTCTTCCCTGAATCAATTCCATAGGAAATTGAATTTGCTTGCTTGTGATTGCCAGAGTAACCCAGAGTTCCTCAGTGGTGAGGATAATGTTCTCCAGGCCTTCATCATCATCCTTTTATTCCATTGCCATCAGGTTTAGTAGTTACCTGGTTCCATTGGAACTTGAGGGTTACCTTTGACCCTCTTATTATTAAACATTGAGACTTCTCATTTCCCAGACTATTGCAATTTCTAGATTCAAGGACCCCAATACTCTGTTTCTTTGGTGATATAATCTGTGATACTTCTCATTTAGCTACAGAGAAATTTTTTTAAACTTGGATCAAATATATGAAACATCTTATTGATTATATTAGTTACTTTTCTATTTCTATGAAAAAAACTCCATGGCAAAGGCAGCTTATAGAAGTACACATTTAATTTCAGAGGGTTGAAAGGCAAAAGCATCGTGAGAGGAACAACTGAGAGCTCGCATCTTGACCTGCAAGCAGGAAGAAGAAAGAGAACACTGGCGATGGCATGAGTTTTTGGAATTTCAAAGCCTGCTCCCAGTAAAGTGTCTCTTCCAACAAAGCTGTCACTCATTATCTTTCTCAAACAGTTCAACCCATTGGAGACCAAGTATTTAAATATGTGAGCCTATGGGGCCCATTATCATTTAAACCAGCACATTGATTATCCTTTTATTTCTCATGCACACACTGAATCAAGTTACTTGGATGGGTATATCAATTTCCAGGAATTTGTCCTTATAATGAATTATCACCCTTAGGGACAGGTGCAATCTCTTCTTTAACTCTTACTTTGAGAGTAGCACAACACAAGGGTCAATTGGAGGATATTGAAAAGCCACAGTCAACACCAAGAAAGAGGCCATGCATTATGGGACAACTCCATTTAACCAAAGTATTTATGTTTCACAAGGCTGGAGACATCCAGCATCTAAAGGAGAGAATCTAAAGGGGGCCCAGTCTGAAATAATCAACCTCACCCTGCTCTTCTCTCACATAGAATGCCTGTTTTGGGGAAAGTCAGACCAAAACCTGCAATTTATTCTACATTGTAAGTCATCACGGTTCTCTATTCTGTCCATTTATGCTTGCAGTGGCCTGTAGAATGAGTTCTGGTACTATTTCCAGATCTAGATGATCTTTTTAAAAGTCATTGGTTTAAAGAAGAGTTCCAATTTCTGCTTGGCATGGGGGTACTCCAGGACTCTTGACTCTGGAATCCCAAGTGAATTTCATTGGAGGTATTCCTTTTCCTGGCTCCCCAGCATTCCCCAGCTCTTTCTCACTGAAAAAAAATGGAGTTGCTCTATTACATGGTTTTGTTCCTGGATTACAGATTGTTTGGCCTCTGCTTTGAAAGAACTTTCTGTTCTGTTTTGTTCTCTTTCACAACCCAAATGCTGTCTCATTCAATGGCGCCTTTCAGCTCAGTTCAGCTTAGTCTAGTTCAGTTCAGGTCAGTCATACTTAGTTATTTAGGGTACTGTGGTGTCTCATTTATTTCAGAGCTCTGTTAGAATAGATAACATGAGCTCTACTTTAGTCAAAAAGTCCTCATGAATGTTCTGAAAAAGGGTTGTGATGATGTTTATAACCCTATGAAAAGAAATTGAAGCATTATTATAACCAAGCCAGGCTTCTTTATGTTTTGGGCTCCAGGAGAAATGATCAATTACTGTGCTCTATATTATAATGCCATTTTACAACTAGAGTTGGTTTCCAAGGCTTGGGGAAAAAGGAATTATATTAAGCCTACACAGCAAACTCTATATTCCTACCTTTCAACATTTGCTTAAAGAAGTTTCTTCTAAGCACTTGCATATTCTACCATGTTTGTGCCAAATGGGTGGTATCTGGATTACTGCAATTGTTTTATGTCTCCATTTGTCTCTAAAATGGGATGAGTCAAGACTTCATTTGCCTCAGAATTCCTGAAAAAAAGAAAGATAAACAACAGACAGCCTGTCCTTAGAACCTCTCCTATACCACCTGGATACTTAAAAATTGTCCTTAAAGGGTTGTCTTTGCTCTCACACCTTGACATCCGTCGTTTGCTCCACCTCTCATACTAGTATTATAGATCCCATAGCAACAAGCAGGCAACAGGAAGTGGACACAAACCACATGGTGAATCAGCATGACTTCAGATAAAATTGTTTAGAGACAAGGGACATGAGGCATTCAAAGTAAGCTCAAGTTATCCATGGTGGAACATGCTTGCGATTTCAAACAATGACACACTGTATTACAGGCAGTGGAGATCTCCCCATGTCCACTCACACCATGCTAGATACAAGAGAGACAGAGAGCTGCAGCAAACATGTAAAGGCATAGCAGAGGATTCTGGGGTCTGCGGTCCCTTGGCCTTGCCTAAATGAGATTGGCACATCAGAGGATTCCCTTCTGGTGGGCTGACATCTGAACTTCAATTGCAACTTGCTGCTCCTCTGGCATGGTCAATGACAGTTCTTGTCCTCAGTGTGATAAGTGAAGTTGGGGTAGATATCATCCCTATAAAAAAGTACTAGAGAGCCTGAAACCAACACAAGGCATAGCTCTGGGGAAATGAAAGCCAGTTGCGTGGGAAGATACTTCCTTTTCCTGTGGTGCTGAAGAAATGGCCATCATGTGATGGGGAGTACTGGTTTCCCTAGGCCACACCTTGCATTGCTTGTCCATATGGCCAGACACTTCAGCCCTGCTGCTAAGCACAGTTGTGTAGCCACAGGAAGGAGATGCCATGACTATTGCCTTCACTGCCCTGCTCTATCTTGGTGAGATATCAATACTGGACAGGGATACTGTGATCTGGTGGTGGTGGTGAACATGCCTCAAAGCTAGACCCTGATTCATCAGGAAACCCTAGTGGTGCAGGAACTTCTGGAGAGGGGAGGATCTTTTCTGATTTGAGGGGCAAAGGTCACACAGAAAATTCTCTTTCAGGACTGAGCCTGATCCCCATGACCTATGTACCAGCAGGTGAGTGCTGCTAATGATGCTTCTTCTCCTGTAGATCAGGAGCAAACCCTTGACCAGGGGTTGGGGGAGGGAAATAAAGAATTGCAGATGTGAACTACTCCTGGTTCATTCTCAGAGGTTTTTGGGACTGAGGGATGAGATTAGGGTGTCTATGCCCTGTGATCAAGCTGCTGAATTCTCTGCAGAAATTATGGGCAAACCCACACTTAGAGCTCAGCCAGGCTCCGTGATGACCAGCGGCATGCAATTGACCATTTCATGTGAGGGAACCTCGAGCGCTCAGGAATATTATCTCTATAAAGAGGGCAGTCCAGATCCCTGGCGACGACAGAGCCCTCTGGAGCATGGGAACAAGGCCGAGTTCTTCTTCCCGTCTTTTCATCCGAACGAAGCAGGGAGATATTGCTGTTACTATAGGACCCACACTGGCTGGTCAGAACGCAGTGACTTTCTGGACTTGATGGTGACAGGTAAAGGAAAACTCAGTTTCTTCGTTCCAAGGTTCTGTCCTCAGGAGAGTATCTTTCCTTTGCTTTGAAAAGTCCCAATTCTGGAGGGTAAATCCCAAGGTGCTGGTTCTTTTAACAGGATGCCATCTTCTTCTCTAGGATTCTACAGAAAACCCAGTCTATCAGCCCTGCCCAGCCCAGTGGTGAGATTTGGAGGAAATGTAACTCTCGAGTGTATCTCACAGCTTGGATATGATGGGTTTTCTTTGACTAAGGAAGAACAACAGAAAATCTCTTGGACCCTAGACTCACAGTACATATACTCTAAAAACAATGTCCGGGCACTGTTCTCTGTGGGTCCTGTGACCTCTGGACATAGGAGGACATTCAGATGCTATGGCTATTACTTGAATAAACCCCGGGTGTGGTCAGAACCCAGTGATCCTCTGGAGCTCCTGGTCTCAGGTGAGGAAGCCCAGCTTGTGTACTGAAAGATAGTTCATCCGACAAAATACCTAGGGATCCGGGACTCTGAAAATCCCATTGACACAAAGAATGAAGACAATAGGACCCAAGATAATGAAACTGAAAGAGGGTACTGAGAGTGAAACATGAGTTGTCTAGAAGACGGGTGTGTCTTTCTGTCACTCTAGTGTTCCTTCTGCTATTCAAGAATCAGCTCTATGATCTCCATATAATCATGTAATAAGTAGATACATATGTATATAATAGTTGTATGTTATATGCATTATATATGATTTTATATAACTGTAAATCCAGATACTCATTGGGGAGAAAACATAGTATTTATCTTTCTATTTTCTATTTATGCTGTTTAATATATTGATCTCCATTTGCAGCCAGGTTTTAAAAATTTTCCTGCACAAATAATTTTTCCTTCAAATAAATAAATCTAAAATTGCATGGTTACAATAAACTTATTCATATACAAGTATAATATTATTTTGTTATGTTCACATGTATTTATAATTACAGAAGTCCATCTAAAATTTTATATGGTTATGTATATATATGAATATATATAAATGTAACTTATTAATATATGAGTGTTACATTTAAATCATTTCTACCTTTTCCATTCTTCCTCTCACTCTTTCTGTGTTTTTCAAACCCTTTTAACTTTGGCCTCTGATTTTTAACTGTTATTCTTATACACAACACACACAAGCACACGAACACATAAATGCACATCTTACAGCCTAGCTTGAGATTATTTTGATTCTTCCATTTTCTCGCCTTGTCTCCAAACGATTTTATCTGAAGACCTCACAGATTCACCATGTGGTTTGTCTCCACTTCCTATTGTTCACTAGTTGCTATCTGATTTTGTTAGTTTGATTTGACCCCAGGATATACAGAGGAACAAGAGACTATAGAATTCAGGTGGTCAATATTTTGGTCTTCTTTAAGCAACCATACTTTTGAAATTTCATGGGTGTAGCTTCCCTCTCTTGCCTAGAAGTCTCTATTGTGTAGCAGGAATCTTGTTCCTCTGGCTGTTGTAACCTTCCTGTCTCTCTTACTCAATGTTCCCTATATTTTATATATACAGTTTGTGTTGTAGGAGTACCCATTTGGACTGGGCACACCAAACCATCTTATTTCTGTTTTGACCAGTTGTGGATTTTTATCATCATCCTCATCTGTAGAAACAGATGCTTCTTTGATGAGGAGACACAGTTAAACTTACTTGTGGGTATAAGGATAAACACTTAGAATGAAGTCAGAAATCACATTGGTTTAGGAACATGGAAGAATTGGTTTCTAATCTAGAGTCCAAGCCTCTCCAGATATGGGTAAAAGTGATATATTTTACATCCATTTTAGTGTCGTATTCTTTGATGATTTAGCTTACCTACTTATGAGAACATATCTACTTCATGGACATTGTGAGCACATCTTTAAGTTCTTGTGATCTCATTGTTTGTACTATTAATGCTGTGATGATTATAGAATGAGATGTTAAGCAGAAGCATCATGGGAACTGGGTGACTTGAATGCAGGCAGAGAATTCAGACTGTCATTATTTTGTGTAATTCATATTCATGGGACCCTGATGACAAGACATTGTCTGCATCTTGGCATCTCAGCCAGTGAATGAGTGCAAACTAATTTACAGGGGAATTAGCTTCCAGGATTCTATACTACAGCAGAGCTTGGATCATAGGAAGGCCTTCATATTTTAAACTGGGAGGCTGTAGCTGTATTTTTCCATCTTAGCTTTCTGAAAAAACAATGCACTTGGTTCCAATGAAGTTCATTGGCCACAAGTTCCAAACTCAGAGCATAGTCAGGCTGAAGAAATCAAGCAAAAGCCCAGGAGAAAGCTTGCTATAGCAGAGAAATGGTTTGTTCCAGTTCTTTATTATATTTTGTGACGAGAATAATATGCATTTCTAAGGAATAGTAATACACATCTTTGCAAAAACAATCAGTTCTCTTGAGCACTTCATACGTTGATCATGCCTTTGTTTCTCAGAAGTGCCTGAGACCACCAGCCAACCACAAAACATGTCAGAAGCCACAATAGGTGAGTAAGGAAAATTTAGGTTTGGGCATGGATACAGAAGGTCAAATTGTATACACAGGAGGAAGCTACTCAGAGTGGAAATACAGTTACGTTCTGTTCCTTTGGTTGGTCCTGACCTGTTTGTCCACAATCTCCAGTCTCACAGCCTCAAGATCACACAGTGGAGAACATCATCCGGATGGGCATTTCTGGTTTGATTCTCACAGTACTTGGGATTTTGCTGTTTGAAGCTTGCTACAGCCGGAGAAGACCTTGATTGCATCTTAGAAGTGAAGACAAGAGATGGCCACAGGCTTGTGTTGTTACTATCTGAAAAATAAATTTGTGGATCTTAGGAATTTTTATAAGAAAATTCAATGTTTAATATTGGGAATTACTTGTGAGAAAAGATCCAGGAATCAAATGTGTTTTGGATGCAGGAAAGCATATAACTGTTGAGTTGGAGACCTCTTCCAACATCACATTAAGGCTTCCATCCTCTACCTTGCCGTGGACTTTGAGAATTTTTTCTCTCCTTCCTTTTTACAGGGGAACTTATTGCCCCATTAGTGAAGTTTGGTCCTGAACTTTGTGTATCTTCTCCTTTCCCAAGTTTCTTGTCATATTTTATTATAAATTATCATATTCCCTATTATGAGCATCTGCTATTGTGGATATTTTTGTACTAGGAACAAGGAATTTGACTCAATAACAACAACAAAAATATTAATGAACACAATTCAGATTCCCAAATGCTAAAATAACTGAATATAAATGATGCTCCCAAAGTCTGTACTCTCCCTTAGGTATTTTACTATGCACATTCATTGCAATGTTTTTGTTAATTTATAAAAAAATTACTGTCTAGTGTTTAAAGGAACTATGAGTGGGACACTGTTCATAGAGTTTCAAAAATATCATTTTTTTAAATGTTGCTCTGTGACTTTTGCTGATTGATATGTATAATCCTTTGCATGGATACCTTGTATTCCTGTATTCCAAGGTCAGTCAGATCCATGAAGGGAGCAACAAGGAGTAGTATAAATAGCAGACCATGACTACCTTTGCCCTCTTTGCCTATTTCTGTGTGAGGAGACAGAACACCACCAAATGCTGATAATTTTTTGCATTCTCACAATAAAAGATATTTGTTTAGTCCTCAATTGATTATTGATTTATTGAGGTCCATATGTACTATCAAAGAGGGCACACATGTTTTATGCATCCCAGCTGTTTTATTAAGGTCAATTTATGCATTTCATTGTTAATTATGTGAAAACTGGAGTATGGGGCTGTGAAGATGCAGAGACCAATGGAGATAAAACTAAGATACTATTAAGAAGGAGATGGTGAGCATGAGGACTTAAAATGATCTTGTCAGCACAGAGGTATAGAGAGTCTCATCAGACCATCATGGCTCCTGAACTTTTAATATGTTTCTTATGCATTATCTTCATTAAGGTGATTGATGCAGGAAGTCACATTTTAACTGTGGTAGGAACTATTTTTGGGACAAGGAGATACTGGTGTGTATAAAATGAAGATGTGAACTCAGCACCAGCATGTATTCATTCATCCTTCTCTGCTTCTTGTATGTGGATATAAAGCTTCTGGATGCTTCAAGGTTCTGTAGACTTTGTTTTTCTTTTAATCAACTGTACCCTGCAGCTATGAGCTGCATAAGTATTTTCTGCATTAAGCTGCTTCCACTTCTGATGTTTTTATTTTATCACAGTAGCAGGAAATGTAACACAGAGAGATCTATGATCCCCTCACTTAACAATATTTGTGTGTTGACCACTCAGGGTTATGCCTGTTTTCTACAGGCAACCACACTTACTATGAGCACATTACTACACTGTGACATGTGTTCAGGAGATGGTATTTGACAGCACTACTCTTCTTCCCTCATCTGTCTTCTTTAGCATTCCCTGAACCATGGAGAGGGGGATACAGATGTGCTGATTAGGTCAAAGCATTCCATGGTCACTCATTTTCCACACATTTACAAATTACAAGTTTGTACTATCAATTTATTATTGACAATTGCATACAAAAATTCTGACTAATACTGAGCCCAGTACTAATCTGTTCATATAAATATAACTAATGCAGTATGACACCATGTGAATTTAACAAAATTAAAGTAGAAGATTCCACATGAGGGTGTATAATTCTTCCTGCCATGGATTTTTGACCCAGTGTTATAATACAGTACATAGATGCTATTCTGTTGAACATACCTCATATAACATAAGAAAACAGTTATGTAGCATGATTAATATAAACCTAGAGATATAAATTGGCGCCCAACCTGAAGGTCAGAAAAGCAAAACAGCCAGCCACAGCTTTTACCTCTACCTCAGCCTGAAATGATGATCCTTCCTCCAGGAATCTCAGAATGAAACTGTGTGTAAGAGCTGTCTTCTCCTGTTTTATATTCCTTCCTAGTGCTAGGATTAAAGGTGTGCACCATTTCTACATGTTTTCTATGGCAAACTAGTGTGGCTACTGGGAATAAAGGAGTGTGTCACCACTGCCTGGTCTGTAAGTCTGGTCAGTATGACTGTTTTACTCTCTGAATTTCAGGCAAGCTTTATTTATTTTTTCCTTTTTTAAATTAATTATATTTATTTGTTTACTTATTTTTTAACATTATTATTTTTCCCCTCTTCCCTTCCCCTCCTACTTCCCCCGCTCACCCTCCTCCCTCACCCTCCCTCCTTAAGAGAGGGCAGGGAATCCTGCCCTGTGCGAAGTCCAAGGTCCTCTCCTCAACATCCAGGTCTAGGATGCTGTACATCGAAATAGACCAGGGTCCCAAAAAGCCAGTACATGCAGTAGAAACAAGTCCCAGTGCTTTTATCAATGGCTTCTCAGGCAGTCCCCATTGTCAGCCACTTTCAGAGAGTCCGGTTTGATCACATGCTCATTCAGTCCCAGTCCAGGTGGATTTGATGAGTTTCCATTAGGACAGGCAATCTGCCTCAGCAGGTGGACCAATCCCTCGTGGTCCAGACTTCCTTGCTCATCTTCTCCCTCCTTCTGCTCTTCAACTGGACCTTTGGAGGTCAGTCCATTGCTCTGATTAGGGTCTCTGTCTCTATCTCCATCCGTCACTGGACAAAGGTTCTATGGTGATATTCGAGATAATCAAGGCAAGGACAGTACAGGCTTCCTCTCCTCTGCTGCCCAAGGATCTAGCTGTGGACATCCCTGTGGACACCTGGGATCTCCTCTAGAGCCAAGTCTCTTGCCAACCTTAAAATGGCCAGATATTTTCTTCTCTGCTCCGATATCTGACCTTGCTCAATCTCTACCCTTCCACTCCCCCAAGCTCTCTCCAGTCTTTGCCTTTTCCCTTCTCTCTCCTCCTTTTCCCTTCCCCCAGGCCCACTCCCACCCCTACCCTCACCCTCATGCTTCCAACTTTTGCCCAGAAATCTTATTTTCTTCCATTTTTCAGGAGAATCTATATATGTTTTTCTTTTTTTTATAAATTTATTTATTTATTAAAGATTTCTGTCACTTCCCTGCCACCCAATTCCCTACCCCTCCCCCAACAAGTCCCCCTCCCTCCACATCCCAAAGAGCAATAAGGGTTCCCTGCCCTGTGGGAAGTCCAAGGAACCCCCACCTCCATCCAGGTCTAGTAAGGTGAGCATCCAAATTGCCTAGGCTCCCACAAAGCCAGTACGTGCAGTAGGATCAAAAACCCATTGCCATTGTTCTTGAGTTCTCAGTAGTCCTCATTGTCCCCTATGTTCAGTGAGACCGATTTTATTCCATGCTTTTTCAGACCCAGGCCAGCTGGCCTTGGTGAGTTCCCAATAGAACATCCCCATTGTCTCAGTGTGTGAGTGCACCCTTTGCGGTCCTGAGTTCCTTGCTCGTGCTCTCTCCTTCTGCTCCTGATTTGGACCTTGAGATTTCTGTCCTGTGCTCCAATGTGGGTCTCTGTCTCCATCTCCTTTCATCGCTTGATGAAAGTTAATATTCAGGAGGATGCCTATATGTTTTTCTTTGGGTTCTCCTTATTTAGCTTCTCTGGGATCACTAATTATAGGCTCATTGTCCTTTGTTTATTGCTAGAAAACAAATATGAGTGAGTACATCCCATGCTCCTCTTTTTGGGTCTGGCTTACCTCACTCAGGATAGTGTTTTCTATTTCCATCCATTTGCATGCAAAATTCAAGAAGTCCTTGTTTTTTACTGCTGAGTAGTACTCTAATATGTATATATTCCATACTTTCTTCATCCATTCTTCCACTGAAGGGCATCTAGGTTGTTTCCAGGTTCTGGCTATTACAAACAATGCTGCTATGAACATAGTAGGAGCATATACTTTTGTTGTATGATAAGGCCTTTCTTGGGTATATCCCCAAGAGTGGTATTGCTGGGTCCAGGGGTAAGGTGATCCCGAATTTCCTGAGAAACCACCACACTGCTTTCCAGAGTGGTTGCGCAAGTTTGCATTCCCACCAGCAATGGATGAGTGTACCCCTTTCTCCACAACCTCTCCAGCAAAGGCTATCATTGGTGTTTTTGATTTTAGCCACTCTGACAGGTATCTGTATCTTAAAGTTGTCTTGATTTGCATTTCCCTGATCGCCAATGAAGTTGAGCATGACCTTAAGTGTCTTTTGGCCATTTGAACTTCTTCTGTTGAGAATTCTCTGTTCAGATCAGTGCCCCATTTTATAATTGGGTTGATTAGCCTTTTACGGTCTAATTTCTTGAGGTCTTTATATATTTTGGAGATCAGGCCTTTGTCTGATGCGGGGTTAGCGAAAATCTGCTTCCATTCAGTAGGTTGCCTTTTTGTCTTAGTGACAGTGTCCTTTGCTTTACAGAAGCTTCTCAGTTTCAGGAGGTCCCATTTAATCACTGTTGCTCTCATAGTCTGTACTACTTGGATGATATGTAGGAAGTGGTCTGTGCCCATCTGTTGTAGTCTACTTCCCACTTTGTCTTCTATCAGGTTCAGTTAGGTCGGATTTATATTGAGGTCTTTAATCCATTTGTACTTGAGTTTTGTGCATGGTGATTGATATGGATCTATTTTCATTCTTCTGCATGTTAACATCCAGTTATGCCAGCACCATCTGTTGAAGATGCTTTCTTTCTTCCATTGTATAATTGTAGCTCCTTTGTCGAAAATCAGGTGTTCAAAGGTTTGTGGGTTAATATCCAGGTCTTCTATTTGATTCCATTTGTCGACGTCTCTGTTTTTATGCCAATACCAAGCTGTTTTCATTAGTGTAGCTCTGTAATAGAGTTTGAAGTCAGGGCTGGTAATGCCTCCAGAAGTTCCTTTATTGTAGGATTGTTTCGGCTATCCTGTTTTTTTTTTTTAAATTTTTCTATATAATGTTGATTATTGTTCTCTCAAGGTCTGTGAAGAATTTTGTTAGGATTTTGATGGAATTACATTGAATCTATAGATTGCTTTTGGTAGAATTGCCATTTTTACTTGTTGATTCTAACAATCCAAGAGCATGGGTGATCTTTCCATTTTCTGGTATCTTCTTCAATTTCTTTCTTCTAATCCTTAAAGTTCTTGTCAAATAGATCTTTCACTTCCTTGGTTAGTGTTACCCCAAGATACTTTATGCTATTTGTGGCTATCGTGAAAGGTGAAGTTTCTTCGATTCCTTCTCTGCTTCACTATCCTTTGTGTATAATTGGGCTACTGATTTTTTGAGTTGATCTTGAATCCTGCCACATCACCGAAGGTATTTATCAGCTGTAGGAATTCTTTAGTAGAGTTTTCGGGGTCACTGATATACACTATCATATCATCTGCTAATAACGGAAGTTTGACTTCTTCCTTTCTGATATTCGTATAGCCATATCCACTTGTTTATTACGTCCATTTTATTAGAAAGCCTTTTCCCAACCCTTTACTCTGAGGTAATGTCTGTCTTTGTGGTTGAGATGTGTTTCTTGTAAACAACAGAATGTTGGATCCTGTTTTCGTATCCATTCACTTATCCTGTGCCTTTTTATAGTTGAATTGAGTCCATTGATATTAAGTGATATTAAAGACCAGTAGTTGTTAACTCTGGTTGTTTTTTTTTTTTGGTGGTAGTGTTTGTGTATTTCCCTTCTTTGAGTTGTGCTGGTGGAGGGTTGTCCAATGTCTGTGTTTTTGTGGGTGTTGTCATCTTCCTTGGGTTATAGTTTTCCTTCTAGTACTTTCTGTAAAGCTGGGTTTGTGGCTACATCTTGTTTAAGTCTGTTTTTGTCCTGGAATATCTTGTTTTCTCAATTGATAGTGAAAGAAAGCTTGGCTGAGTATAGCAGTCTGGGCTTGCATCCATGGTCTTTTAGTGTCTGTATCACATTTATAAGACCTTCTGGCTTTCATGGTTTCCATAGAAAAGTCAGGTGTAATTCTGATAGGTTTACCTTTATATATTACTTGGCTCTTTTTTTT